ATTAAAGTGTGACAAACATGCAAAAAAATAAGAAATCAGGAAGGGGGCCAACACTTTTTTACACCACTGTATATATATATATATATATATATATATATATATATATACACATATATATATATATATAGATATATATATACACACACACACAACTGACACATCATTTGTTTCATTTGCTCTTTGAATGTTGCTTTAAAACATGCTGTAATGTCATTGTTTTGTTCAGATTCAGTGTGACTGCTGTAATGGGTGGTTTCACTGGGCATGTGTAAACCGACCCGATATAAAAGATGTTTTTGTTTGTCCTGGATGCCTGAAGGCCCTGTTCAATTTTGTAATAGGATTTCTACGCACCATTTGATTAGTAAGTCATCACTTAAATCTACATTAAAAACATCTCTTCAGCCAGACTTTACAGAATGCATCTTGTATCTGCAGTTTAATAGTACAAGATCAAATGCAAATAACACAAAAAATTGTTTGCAGCTAATTACTCTGTCTGCCCTTCCACCTTACCTCAGGATGCCCATATAATCCCTAGCTCCAGTTGGATGCCAACCTCTCACAGAGACAGTGGAGATATGACGCCCATCCCGAGGACACCTGGAATTTCTTGTAATGTCTATGCATTCTGATAAAGCCACCAATGTGTAATGCATTGCTGCATATATTTATGCATGAATAAAATTGGAAAATTTAACTCTTCGTGTGTGTGTGTGTTTAAGTAGTACTAGAAGCGCAGCCTTTTATGGGCAATACATTTAAAATGACCTTTGTCTTTTCGTTCGGTCTCTCTTCTCTTATATTGCCTTTTAGCTTTCAGGAAAACACCCATAAACAACATCTCTCAGCTGCTAATTATTTTTTTTTTTTTTATTGTTGCAAGGCTCTTGACAAAAAAAAAAAGCAAACACAAAACGAAAAAAGGCAACACAAAACAACACCAGAGAACATTAAAACATCTTTATTTGAACATGAATCTAATGACATTTGAGTTTAATTGCAGTCATTGAAAGTTATGAAAAGTTATGATGCAGCAAAATACACAGCAACTAGGGACACAGTTTACAGCTTGAAAATAAATGACAAAAAGCAATGAGGAACAACAGA